GTTTCCTAGCCTCAGTGCAGTGGGCAGCTGGGAGGAAGTGCTCTTATTTTCCATGGACTTTACAGTGTCCCAAAACTTTTTGGAGTTAGTGCTACAGGATGCAAATTTCTGTTTGAAAAAGTTAGCCTTTGCTTTCCTAACTGCTTGTGTATATTGGTTCCTAACTTCCCTGAAAAGTTGCATATCGCGGGGGCTATTTGATGCTAATGCAGTACGCCACAGGATGTTTTTGTGCTGGTCAAGGGCAGTCAAGTCTGAGGAGAACCAGGGGCTATATCTGTTCTTAGTTCTGTATTTTTTGAATGGGGCATGTCTATTTAAGATTGAGAGGAAATTACTTTTAAAGAACAACCAGGCATCCTCTACTGACGGAATGAGATCTATATCCATCCAGGATACCTGGGCCAGGTCAATTAGGAAGGCCTGCTCGCTGAAGTGTTTTTGGGAGCGTTTGACAGTGATGAGGGGTGGTCGTTTGACCGCGGACCCGTTACGGACGCAGGCAATAAGGCAGTGATCGCTGAGATCCTGGTTGAAGACAGCGGAGGTGTATTTAGAGGGTAAGTTAGTCAGGATGATATCTATGAGGTACCCATGTTTACGGATTTAGGGTTGTACCTGGTAGGTTCGTTGATAATTTGTGTGAGATTGAGGGCATCTAGTTTAGATTGTAGGATGGCCGGGGTGTTAAGCATATCCCAATTTAGGTCACCAAGCAGTACGAACTCTGAGGATAGATGGGGGGCAATCAATTCACATATGGTGTCCAGGGCACAGCTGGGGGCTGAGGGGGGTCTGTAGCAAGCGGCAACAGTGAGAGACTTATTTCTGGAAAGGTGGATTTTTAGAAGTAGAAGCTCAAACTGTTTGGGCACAGACCTGGATAGTATGATAGAGCTCTGCAGGCTATCTCTACAGTAGATTGCAACTCCACCCCCTTTGGCAGTTCTATCTAGACGGAAAATGTTATAGTTGGGGATGGAAATTTCAGATTTTTGGTGGCCTTCCTAAGCCAGGATTCAGACACTGCTAGAACATCAGGGTTGGCGGAGTGTGCTAACGCAGTGAATAACTCAAACTTAGGAAGGAGGCTTCTGATATTTATGTGCAGAAAACCAAGACTTTTACGGTTACAGAAGTCAACAAATGATAGCTCCTGGGGAGTAGGAGTGATACTGGGGGCTGCAGGGCCTGGGTTAGCCTCTACATCACCAGAGGAACAGAGGAGGACTAGAATAAGGATACGACTAAAGGCTTTAAGAACTGGTCTTCTAGTGCGTTGGGTACATAGAATAAAGGGGGCAGTTCTCCGGGCGTTGTAGAAAAGATTCAGGGCATTATGTACAGAAAAGGATATGGAAGGATATGAGTACAGTTCAGGTAACCCTAAGCGTTGGGTAACAATGAAAGAGATAGCGTCATTGGAGGCATCGATGGAGCCGGTCTCGGCGTGTATGGGGGGAGGAACAAAAGAACTATATGAGGCAGTTTGAGAGGGACTAGGGGTTCTACATTGAAATTGTATAATAAGAACTAACCCAAACAGCAATAGGCAAGGCATAATTGACATGGGAGAGAGGCATAAAGCAGTCACATGTGTTATTAGAGAGAGCTAAGACACAACTGGAAATAGCGATAACGTTTGGGCTAAGACTAAACAGAATAAACAGGACAGGGTACCGTGTAAAGGAACAGTCCAGCAGGCATCAGCTGTGCAGCTGAGTGATTATAAGGTCCAGTGAACAGCAATATGTGAGTCCGAGAGCAGTTCAAATTGGTGCTTCAGCACAGCTAGCAGGGAGCACAGTTGTAGTTTGCGTGTGCTAGCGGGCCGGGGTGGCAGATGGATCTTCGTGGTCGTCGCAACGGGAAGCCTGTTGAAACCACATCAGACTATTTCGTCGGCAAACCAGTCGTGTTGGATCGGCGGGGCTCAGTGTCAACACTAGGAGGTCCCGTCCGGTTGACAGAGAGGTAGATAGCCGGGAGATGGGCCTGAGGCTAGCTCAAGGCTAACTGGTGCTTGCTATAGGGTAATGGTAATCAGCCAACAACAGGTTGCAGCTAGCTAGCTGGTTGTGATGATCCGGCGCTAGGGTCCAGTGATTCCGGCAGAAAGTCCAATAAGCTCTGGGTCGATAGCACGCTGGGTCGATAGCACGCTGTGCAGACTGGCCGACGAATTGTCCAGGCTAGAGCTAGAGCTGGCTGGTGGATAGTGTAGGCCACGGACAATGGTGACGACGCTAACGGTGACTAATAACAGGTAGCCACTATTTTCAGCTTACGGTTCTTGATGAAAGTTATAAAGAAATAATAGAATCCTTTCCACGTTGGGTGAGGCGGGTTGCAGGAAAGTATATTTCGTTAAATAATGAAAGTAAAAAAATTGAGAAATATAGACAAAAAAACAAGAAACGGGATATTTACACAGGACGAAAAATAAAAGCGACCGCACTGCTACGCCATCTTGGAATTTGTCATATGGGTTGACCCCAGCCCTCCACAGTGTCCTGAGGGTCGGAAGTACGTTCCGCTCGAGATTCGGGATCGACTCATTTACTGGGCTCACACGTCTCCCTCCTCTGGACATCCGGGTATTGGCCGGACAGTGCATTGCCTTAGCACTAAATACTGGTGGCCCACTTTGGCTAGGGATGTGAGGGTTTATGTCTCCTCCTGCTCGGTGTGCGCCCAGTGTAAGGCGCCCCGACATCTGCCCAGGGGTAAGTTACAACCCCTGCCCGTTCCACAACGACCATGGTCCCACCTCTCGGTGGATTTTGTGACAGACCTTCCCCTCTCTCAGGGGAATACCACCATCCTGGTCGTTGTGGACCGGTTCTCTAAGGCCTGTCGTCTTCTCCCTATGTCGGGTCTTCCTACTGCCCTACAGACCGCTGAGGCCCTATTTACCCACGTCTTCCGGCATTACGGGGTACCCGAGGATATAGTGTCTGATCGAGGCCCCCAGTTTACCTCCCGTGTTTGGAGATCGTTCATGGAGCGTTTGGGGGTCTCGGTTAGCCTTACCTCAGGGTACCACCCGGAGAGTAACGGGCAGGTAGAACGTGTCAACCAGGATGTGGGTAGGTTTCTGAGGTCGTATTGCCAGGGCCGGCCGGAGGAGTGGGCACGGTACATTCCCTGGGCCGGGATTGGCCCAGAACTCTCTCCGCCACTCCTCTACCAACCTAACCCCCTTCCAATGTGTGTTAGGTTACCAGCCGGTTCTGGCACCTTGGCAGCAGAGCCAGATCGAGGCCCCTGCGGTGGATGATTGGATGAGGCGCTCGGAAGAGACGTGGAACGCTGCCCACGTCCACCTGCAGCGGGCCGTCCTTCGTCACAAGGCGAGCGCCGATCTCCACCGCAGTGAGGGGCCGGTGTACGCACCCGGAGATCGAGTCTGGCTCTCTACCAGAAAACTACCCCTCCGCCTGCCCTGCCGGAAGCTGGGTCGGCGGTTTGTGGGGCCCTTTAAAGTCCTGAGAAGATTGAACGAGGTGTGTTATAGGTTACATCTACCTGTTGAGTATAAGAATATTAACCCCTCGTTCCATGTGTCTCTTCTCAGGCCGGTGGTAGCTGGTCCACTCCAGGACAATGAGATAGGGGAGACTCCTCCGCCCCCACTGGACATCGAGGGGGCTCCGGCGTACACCGTTCGGTCCATCTTGGACTCAAGACGCCGGATGGGGGGTCTCCAGTATCTCGTGGAGTGGGAGGGGTACTGCCCGGAGGAGCGGTGCTGGGTGCCGCGGAGGGACATCCTAGACCCATCTCTCCTGTCGGAGTTCCACCGGGACCATCCCGCGCGCCCTGCTCCGCGTCCTCCTGGTCGTCCCCGAGGCCGGGGTCGGCGCATGGCTGGAGCCGCGCGTCAAGGGGGGGGGTACTGTCACGGTTTCGGCCGAGGCTGCTCCTCCTCCTGGTTCGGGCAGGCTTCGGCGGTCGTCGTCCCCGGAGTACTAGCTGCCACCGATCTATGTTTCATGTTCGTTTGGTTTTGTCTTGATGTTGTACACCTGTGTCTTGTTAGTCCTCGTTAGTGTCCTATTTAGTTCTCGTTGTGTGTGTTTGTCTTTGTGTGTGATTGCTCTTCTGTTTCGTGTTGGAGCTACGTACTTCCCTCCAGTGTTTTGGAGAGGTTTTTCGCACGTTAGTGCACCGTTTGATTGACGCCTGTGTGCGCCGTTATTTCGCCTTCGGGCTTATTGTGCTTATTTTCTACGTGAATATTGCACTAAAGTCTTTTGGACTGAGCCTCTGCGTCCTGCGCTTGATTCATGCACCACACCCACCTTCAGCACCCCTTGACAGTTGTTTTGTATCCTGGCTTCGGGACCACCAGTAAAGATCCTTGTTTCACCATCTCTGCCTACTGCCTACTGTCTATCCTGCACCGCACCTGGGTCACACCTCACACCAACCCTTACAGGCACATTTAACAGTTAGGCTATTGATTATAGAGCTAATTAAGTTGGGGTTTCCTCTCTCCTCACTTTTCTTAGACAATTAAGGCGAGGGCTGTTTTCTCATCTCCTCATTCTGCTGCTGCCTCCGCCGCATTGTTCTCAACACCAATATGCTGTTTAACTTTACTATTACAGTATGCACATAGCAACACGGTCTAGGAAAAGGCGCCAATTCAACAGCGCACTGATGTGTTTCAGAACCGCGGACAGCGACCATTTGTTATAAAATATATTTGTTTTTAAATTGTGTTGCACCATTGTACATAATATAACCATTTACAATTTCAGTAGCACGTCTTGGACTGATGGACTGTGCCATCCCCACAGCCTCCACAATGGATCAGTCCACTCAAACAAGCACGAATCAGACAGGTGTTTTGTAAACCATGAAAAAAATGCTACTGCTCAACTAAAGACATCTCACGTATTTCATTTACACAAACAACCTGTACAGACATGCATATGGTATACACAAGAGTTGTGGACTCTAATAATAGTGACTTGGTCCTACCTCAGGTCCTACCTCAGGTATAAAGTACACATACAGTACTTACCAGGGGCTTTGAACGTCCTGAAGTTGATATTGACCAGGACAAAATGGATGACAGTTGGGCAGTTCCGTTCCCCCTTTTTTGGCCTGAAGACGTAGCACTCTTTCAGGCCCTCGCGGTCAAACACTTTAGGGTCGATCTTAGGGAACGGCAGTTTGTTCATCCGGGCCCACTTCTCAGCCAGCAGAAGCTCCTATATACCAAACACAAGTCAAAAAGCTAGCCTCTTGATTACTACTGCATAGTCAAATGATTATACATTTTATCCTAACACGTTAATAATCACACAAAAATTGCTCACAAAAAAATTTACAATGATAAAATGAAATAAACACTTAAAAACCAGGAAGTACTAGCAGGTGGCGCTTGGCGTCACAATGACCTTGAAGGGTGGGCTGGAGTCGCTGGGGCGAGCTGAGAAGTCGAAGGAGATGATGAGGTCGACGCCACGCTGCGGCCGCAGGATGAGGGGGTACGGGAGGTTATAGGTCAGACCACTGTCCACTATATGGATCTTCTTACTCTTCACGTCCAGGGGCTCATAGATATCAGAAAACTCATCGGGGTCTGAGAACGTTATGGAATACGATGCAGAATAAATACAGAACGTGTTACGGTAGAAATGCGTGAGTGAATTTATGTGTGTGTGGATGGGTATGTGTGTGTGGATGGGTATGTGTGTGTGGATGGGTATGTGTGTGTGGATGGGTATGTGTGTGTGGATGGGCATGTGTGTGTGGATGGGTAAGTGTGTGTGGATGGGCATGTGTGTGTGGATGGGTATGTGTGTGTGGATGGGTAAGTGTGTGTGGATGGGTATGTGTGTGTGGATGGGTAAGTGTGTGTGGATGGGTATGTGTGTGTGGATGGGTAAGTGTGTGTGTGATGGTCATACTATAGCGTTTTCCATTTGTACACAGTCTGGCATTTAGTAAAGCTATTGTGCTGTAACTGTACTGTAATTGTAGCTGTTTTATTACGCAGTCAGACTTAACTCAGTCACTACCATAACCTTTCAATAACTCTCACCGTAGGTCTATTGAATAGTACACAGCTCCAACAAGAGCTCTATTGCCAAGGTCTACTGGATCTAATATCTGCTTTATTTAGACTGTAACAACAGTCATAGACCTGTCATACAGGAATATCTGGAATCTAGAATCTAGAATGTGTTACATCTAGAACTCCTGGATCACCAGATTTGACCTCTGACCTGTGACAGCGTCCACCTCATCCTCGACGGAGGCGCAGGAGTTCTGGTACATGAAGTCTCCGAAGGTGGAGAAGGGCATGTTGGTGTTGAGGTTGAGGCCCAGCATGAAGTTATGGACCTTCCCCGCCCGCCCCTCCCGCGTGTTGAACAGGGAGGAGTCGCTGAAGAGGGAGGTGATCATTCGCTGGACCCAGCTGTTCTGGGCGGTGCGGTGGTACTCATCATCCTTGTTCTCACTGCCTCCTGGAGAGAAGAGAGATACAGAAAAAGAAAAGAGGCAAGGGAGAGAGAAGGGAACAATGTTAATAAAGAGAGGGCATTGTAGGCTTACAGTATCTATTTGGTAGCTAGAGGTGCTCCATAGTCCTTGATCTGAAGTCCACACCTTGACTTTTCTCCCTGGCAGGTCCACACACCTGAATACCCAGGTATAATACTATCATATACAGTATATAAAGTAGGTCTATTCAGTTTGATGGTACAAGGACTGGAGTTGTGACTGGAGTTGTGCACCCGTGCCCTTTGTATTTACACATGACCATTCCCTTTCCCTCTCTATCATCTCTCACTCTCTCTCGCTCTCTGTCTCTCGCTCTCGTTCTCTCTCTCCCTCCCTCTCTCTCTCTCTCTCTCTCTCTCTCTCTCTCCCTCTCTGTCTCTCTCTGTCTCTCTCTCTCACACTCTCTTTCTCTCTCTCTCTCTCTATCATCTCTCTCTATCATCTCTATCATCTCTCACTCTCTCTATAATCTCTATCATCTCTCTCTCTCTATCATCTCTCTCTATAATCTCTCTCTCTCTCTGTCTCTCTCTCTATCATCTCTCTCTCTATCATCTCTCTCTCTCTCTCTCTCTCGCTCTCTCTCTCTCCACAACACTAACATCTACACCCTATAAACAGAGATTGATCACCTCAGAGGCTAACCACCCACACATTATTGACCAACAACAGGTTTAACAGGGACAAAAAACATCCTCAGAGCCATTATCTACCAACCACACCCACATTAAAAAATACTACAGTTTACTATAGCATACTACAGTACTTACTATAGAATTATATAGTAAACTGTAGTATAATGTAGAATACTATACTACACTGTACTATCCCTCAAACGTGTAGTACTAAATATGTAGTATAAAATGTTGTAGTATACATACTACAGTATTATCCACACAAAAAAGCACTGAGGTAAATACTACAGTAATGTCCGCAAAAACACTAAAGCCCGGAAAAACACTATAATTTTTTAACAATAGTAAATACTACAGTATTTAATTTGCATATACCAGTCCATTCCCCTCCCCCATATCGCAATTTGTCCCTGACCATATATTGTATACAAAAGAGCAGAAGCTCTGAACTATCTGTTCAGACCTACAGGTTGTAGAAAATGTGCTCTTTTAGTATTTCTCCAGTAGGTTTCCTGAGGAGAAAGAATCCACTTATATGTCAAAGATAATCAAACTAAAACACTACAGTAAATACTACAGTTTTCTTTTACTACAGTATTTATACTATAGTTAACTGTAAATACTACAGTATTCACTATAGTATTTATAACATAGTAAGTATACTATAGTCTTTTTTCATGTGGGCACAGAGACAGCCACGCTAGCTATGTCTGCTAAGAACAACCACTGACAGCTATGGGAACCTGATGCAACACGATTGGTTTAATTGTCAGGGGGTGAAATTAACTCTGATATACTCACCTCAACTTATGTTCAAGCATGATGCATCAACACCATACATAAGAATGTGTTATAATTAAATAAAGGAATGAAGAGACGTAACGTGTGAAAAATGCAGCGTCTGGGGCGGTGACTTCCCCAGAAGCAGTTTGAACAGAAGCTGAAGCATTGCAGAGATTTGTTTCTCCATCAGACCATACACTTCTTCAGGTTTCTGTGTATTTCCTATTAATGATTGTGCTTCATGGGCATTGTAGTCCTCACCTTTCTGAGGCTCCTCGTCATTGTCCATACTCTCCTCCCCCACGATGTGTTGAGGCTTTATCTGTTCTGTGGGAAAAGGACATCTACCTCAATCACATACAAGTCTTCAGTTATCATCTCAAAAAAGCAGAGCTTATCATGGCCTAACCGGTTTTTTATTTTATTTTTTTTCTCTCTCTCTCTCTCTCTCTCTCTCTCTCTCTCTCTCTCTCTCTCTCTCTCGCTCTATAATCTCTATCTATAATCTCTATCATCCGTTATCGCTTATATTAGGCTGTCCAATAAACTCTCAATTGTTTAGGCCCTACCTTTTTATAAACTAATTTGCAACAATGGCTTACGTAACAAACACAACAAAACAATTTTCGTATAACATAAACCTGTCAATTCCTGGAATGGGCGTAGGTGTTTATGTGCTCACTGAACCTGTATGCTGGTATGTACTGCATTGTACTGTAGGTGTATGTGTTGATGTATTACCGGCATGTGTGTGAGTGTGTTGGTGAATTAAAAGGTCAAATCAAACCTCAACAGCCCATTAATAAGCTTTTATAAATAGTGACAGGAAGCTGAACATAATCTTTGTTTCCATTGAAGGGAATCACACCCTCATCTGAGAAACCCCGGGACAAAGTTATTTTAGGAATCGCTTGACAGGTGTCATGTGAGCTGGCATCAGGTACAGCTGTCACTCGCGTGTCACATAAAGCTGCATTCACACCAAGAGTCAAGCGTAATAGGAAACAGACTACAATAGGAGGTGCAGTTGGTTTGCGTTGTGCAGAGCAGACACAACACATTGGAATGGGGACTATGGGCTAACACATCAACTTGGAACTAAGCCTTTGAGGTAACCACAGTCAGTGCCTCCAGGTGTCAGTCACTGGGACAATGCTGTATGAGCTGCACTGTAAGTAGATACTAGAAAGGTGTACGCAGGGCTCTTAATTAAAACATTTGAATGGTAGCTTAAGTGCTCCCAACTTTAAAAAGTTAGGAACACAACATACAATTTAGGAGCACCAGAAAATATGGAGTTGGTCCGCCCTTTGCTGCTATAACAGCATCCACTCTTCTGGGAAGGCTTTCCACTAGATGTTGGAGCATTGCTGCGGGGACTTGCTTCCATTCAGCCACAAGAGCATTACTGAGGTCGGGCACTGATGTTGAGAGATTAGGCCTGGCTCGCAGTTGGCGTTCCAATTCATCCCAAAGGTGTTCGATGGGGTTGAGGTCAGGGCTCCGTCAAGTTCTTCCACACCGATCTCGACAAACCATTTCTGTTTGGACCTCGCTTTGTGCACGGGGGCATTGTCATGCTGAAACAGGAAAGGGCCTTCCCCAAACTGTTGCCACAAAGTTAGAAACACAGAATCGTCTAGAATGTAATTGTATGCTGTAGCATTAAGATTTCCCTTCAATGGAACTAAAGGGCCTAGCCCGAACCATGAAAAACAGCCCCATTGTACTGCCAATGTTTGTCTATGGAGATTGCATGGCTGTGTGCTCGATTTTATACATCAGTGACGGGCGTGGTTGAAATAACCCAATCCACTAGTTTGAAGGTGTCCACATACTGTACTTGTGTATATGTAGTGCATGTTGTGCCCAAGAAACATAATACAGTATGTAAACCTGTAAATACATTTGTTTATTATAAAAAGCTAAAGTATTGATACAAATACCTGTAATTGAAATTAAAACGTCATTTGTGGAATATTATGTAAAAGCACTATTTTCCTATTGAGATGCATTACATTGAAAATTGTACACTGACTCTTTAAGAGCATCAAGTGCAAGTCATCTGTCATTCATTCATTGCTATGATCATTGATCTCCTGAAGAAAATATCCCTTTTCCTTTGTTTCTGTGCCCCCAAATGTTTGGATACACTGGTAAAGTTACCACGTTGTTAACTAGCTAGCTAATGAGGTAACAAACATGACTGAAGAAGGTGTAAAACAAATGTGGCCCGTGAGTAGTTTTAGAACGGCCCGCGACATGGTTTATGCATGTAAAATACGCCCACGCAAATCTCAGACCATGAGTATGCACAACTTCTAGTGGTTGATCTACTGTATTGCATTTTGGGGGAAATTGAGGTGTTTGATACACAGGAATTATTTGTACATTTACATTTTAGTCATTTAGCAGATGCTTTTATCCAGAGCGACTTACAGTAGTGAGTGCATAAATTTTTCACACTGGTCCTCCGTGGGAATCGAACCCACAACCCTGGCGTTGCACGCGCCATGCTCTACCAACTGAGGCTAATAAATACATGAAATGGTAGGCCTAATGATAAAACAGATCCATTTGCAGTTCGTAAGAAGATCGCATAGCAGCATGCCGCCAAATATATTTATTTTACTTTTATTATATATGCCTAAATTATAATCATATTGCAGGGCATGTCTCTCCTTTTCTGACGTGACTGGTTTACACAACAAATATTAGGCTACCATTTATCCATCGCTTATTCAAAAGCCAACCATGCTCGAAAGTAAATAGACCGGTAGCCTATGACAGTATGGGTAGGCTACAGTATAGCTGTGTGATAGGAGCGTGACATTATACTCTATTTAATCTCAGAGCCAACACCAAGGCAGGATAGGAGCGTGACATCATAGCCTATTTAATCTCAGAGCCAATCCCAAGGCAGGATAGGAGCGTGACATCATAGCCTATTTAATCTCAGAGCCAACACCAAGGCAGGATAGGAGCGTGACATCATAGCCTATTTAATCTCAGAGCCAACACCAAGGCAGGATAGGAGCGTGACATCATAGCCTATTTAATCTCAGAGCCAACACCAAGGCAGGATAGGAGCGTGACATCATAGCCTATTTAATCTCAGAGCCAACACCAAGGCAGGAGATAGAAACACAATCATCTATTGATAAAGTAAATATTCAACAACAGTTTGTATTTTGCATAGAAGTGTGGGCTGTAGGTAGCATTAACTTCTAAATTGTTCAATAGACAATCAATCTTGCAGAATGCACAACCAGTGTTTGGCACACACTATATGCGGCATTAATTTTTAGCTTAAAAAGTCACTGCAAAAGATTGAAACATTCTGCCCAAATCTCTACAGAAATGTGATCAAATTTGCCATTGTGCTTCCTTAGAAACTGTCATGGCCAAGTTCCAACATCTCAAATCATACAGAAAATGAGGGTGTTCTTGTTACTATAAAAGGTGAATGGAGGGCATTTTTCAGGCGGGGTTGTAACGCTCGTTTAGGAGAGCAGAAATATAGTATGGCTCTGATTTGTCAATGAAAACGTGTACCGTATATGTTGTGTGCGACAGTTTGATCATTCCCAATAACCTGTTGCACAAGCAAATCCTAGAATCTCCCCGTACGTCAGAATGAGGCCCCATGTGGGATCAGTTGCATTGGTCGCACTTTAGAGATTGGTCGCACTTTACAGCCCTGGGTGTCTGTGCCGTACTAACGGTGGAGGAGACCAGGATGTGGTACTATATCTACACAGGATGCATGACTTCATTGGGGACATTGGGGTCAGGCTTCAGACAAAACGTTGGGGTTAGGATTAGAGTTCAAAGGGAAGTGTGTGTGGTTTCTTACCAAGCTCTTCCTCCATAGTGCTCCCCCCGACCGTGTCTTTCACCCCCAGAACTCTGTTGAAGAGAATGGAGAAAGCACTGCCCCACACCCCTGGAGAGAGAAACCACAACATCAATTTAATGTAATGAATCACAAAAATCATGTTTATAGCTTATCATTTAATGAATCTCTTGAGGAAGTGCCATGAGGAAGTGCCAAGGATATCCTGTGTCAGTGTTTTTCTACCTATGAGGAAGTGTCAGGGCTATTCTGTGTGAGTGTTTTCCTACCCATAAGGAAATGTAGTGGGTTCTCCTCATAACGCTTCACAGCGGTTCCCATGAAGAACTTGCTTCCAAAAAGGTCAGGGGTCATGAACGTTCCATACTTTGCCATTCCAATCTCAAATGGGCTGAACTCCACCCAGTCTGTGTAAAAAACAACAACAATCATCCATTAATCAAAATACAATCAGTGTATGTATGTAACTAACTAACTAACTAACTAACACTTTCATTAGGAGAGCACACGGTAAGTACAATGTAATTGGGAAAATGTGTACGCCCTTTCACAAATCTGCAGTAAATCTGCACTTATATGTGTTTGATATGGACAGAGGGTAACCCAGGTTTACAGTAACAGTACAAGCCAGGTGCTGGAGGGTGTACCCTACGTCAGGGTTTCCCAAACTCGGTCCTGGGCCCCCCATGGGTGCAGCTTTTGGTTTTTGCCCTAGCACTACACAGCTGATTCAAATAATCAAAGCTTGATGATGAGTTGGTTATTTTAATCAACTGTGTAGTGCTAGTGCAAAAAAACAAAAGTGACACAACAACACCCATACATACAGTACTATTAGGCACAACACAGTGTTTCATACATTATATATTTGAGTTCCTCAGAACAACAATCACCTTTCAGCCTATTCTTGGCACTGGGTTAAGGAGGATAAGGTTACCACTGTCCTGTATGTTAGGTGGTTTTATTTAGCCTTTCTCTGGAATGGGTGTGAAGGTATTTCCTTGTAAAACCAGTATTAAAAGGTGGGGGATTTACAGTAAAAGGGAATAATTGACTAACTGAAGCAATATTATATTTCAGCTAATCTGCAAAATACACTATAGGCCAAGTTTTGGGTCACAGTTCCCGAAACTCAGCATTCAGTCACGCGCTAGGTCAACCTAACAGGGAACCGATCCTAGATCAGGGCTTGGGGCCACACCACAACCACATTGACCCCTACCTAACATTGCCCTCCTACAGTAATGCCTGTGATCAATATGTTGTTACATTGCTGTTTTTTGTTTTGTTTTTGCAATACCATTGGTTTTGCAATCTCTTGTGCTTGATCACATCCGTGCCTGCCTTTCTTTCAGTAACAAAGACTGTTTTCAGAGCTGTAGGCTTTGATGTCACTATGGCTTTGTTGTAAATGAATGTAACTGGTCATATGCACAGTAGATATGTCACGCCCTGACTCAGGGGACTCTTATATGTTGAGTCAGGGTGTGAATATTCTATGTTGTGTAGATCTATGTTGGCCGGTGTGGTTCCCGATCAGAGGCAGCTGTCGCTCATTGTCTCTGATTGGGGACCATACTTAGGCAGCCTATTGGCACTCGTTAGTTGTGGGATCTTGTTCCGTGAGTAGGCTAGTTTTGTGGTTAGCCTTAGGACTTCATGTTTCGTTGGTTTATTGTTTTGTTAGTGTGTTTATGGGTTAAATAAACATGTACGCATTTCACGCTGCGCCTTGGTCTGACCCGTCCTTCAACGAACGTGACAAGATAGCTATATTAATAGATGACTTTTCAATGGTGTTTAATATCTGAAAGCCCCATTTGGATATCAGCCCACCATGACACATCAGCTGGTGGTAAACCAGAGATACGCATTAAGAGAGTTGGGCCAGGTTTTAGAACGGACGCCATGTTAGCACCTTTTCTTCTCCAAATGTTGGTAATGTAACAATACGACAGTTCCCTCTGAAACCCTCTGTAAACAAGCAAAACAATGTATTTAATTGATTATAATGTGTATCCAAGTCTGTACTGTGTTGTGGTGTCAACAAATTGCATATATGCTTTCACTGGACGTCTTCATAGGTTTGGAAAACTATCCGAAATAAACAGCGCAATGCGGAAGCGTCAATTACCACTTAGCAATGGCTACGGAGAAGAAAGTACCGCTCTCGGGAACATTCAGACAGAAACCGGATTGACCCAACTCTCTCTATATATGACTCTGTGGTAAATTAGTGATGCTGCAAGGAAATGTAGTGTACGGATATTTGCATGTGGGAGATAGGAGCTCTGGTAACATATTATGTAAAAGGAATACACATAGTCATTCTACTAAAGACACACACACACACACACACACACACACACACACACACACAGCCCAAATAGGCTCTTTCAGAACTTGGACCATCCATTCAAACTACGTGCCCAGCACTGCGAACACACAACCACACTACGTGCATTAACTCCTCACAGAAATGCTACGCTTTATTGAACAACTGAGGGGAGAGCCTTGTAGCCACACTGGGCTTGTGGTCTACAGTAATACACACACACACAACGCATACACACTCACTGACCTGCGAACATGAGCTCGGACACGTCTGGTTTGACGTGCAGACAGGTGAACAGAGGGAGGGGACACTGGGCCTCATTTACCTTCTCATGCAACTCACTCAGCTTTGTGTCCATCCTCTGATGAAAAACAAAGAAACACTTTTGGAGTCAGGGCCTCTTGAAGACGGAGAGAGAGAAATACAGTAACAATGAAAACAGGTGTCTGCAGTCCTCTCACCGCAGGAATGAGTGTCTCTCCGATGAGCATGCCGAAGATGTCTGTGAAGGTGACGGGCTGTCCGTTGGCCTTCTTGCTCCACAGAGCCTGGATGTAGTTGGTGATGTGCTGGGGCAGCAGCAGCCTCAGAGGGTTACTGCTCACACTCTTCATCAGCTCTGCGTTGATCTCCTTAGGACCCTTAGAGGGGAACTCTGGGTGGGAGAACAGGGTCGACATGTACCTGTGGGGGAGATAGTGAGGGAGGGAGGGAGGGAGAAAGTGACGGAGGGAGGGAGGAGGGAGAGGGAGGAAGAGGTAGAGATAGAGGGAGGGAGAGGTAGAGGGAGGGAGAGATAGAGGGTGGGAGAGGTAGAGGAGGGAGTGAAGGTGGGAGGAAGTGTGGGAGATAGATAGTAAGGGAAGAAGGGAGATAGAGGGAGGGAGATAGAGGGATGGAGATAGGGATGGAGGGAGATAGAGGGATGGAGAGATAGAGAGAGGGAAATAGAGGGAGGAGAGATAGAGAGAGGGAGAGAGATGGAGGGAGAGAGATAGAGGGAGGGAGAGAGGGATGGAGAGATAGAGAGAGGGAGATAGAGGAAGGAGAGATAGAGAGAGGGAAATAGAGGGAGGAGAGATAGAGAGAGGGAGAGAGATAGAGGGAGAGAGATAGAGGGAGGGAGAAAGAGGGAGGGAAATAGAGGGAGAGAGATAGAGGGATTGAGATAGAGGGAGGGAGGCGAGATAGAGTGAGGGAGATAGAGGGAGGGAGGAGAGATAGAGGGAGGAGAGATAGAGGGAGGGAGATAGATAGAGGGAGGAGAGATAGAGGGAGGGAGGAGAGATAGAGGGAGGGAGATAGATAGTGAGGCAGGAAAACACACATGGAGAGCACTACAGTCCTCCATACAAATACTGGGCAAATGTTGATGCAGAGGTAGATACTGTAGGAGAGGAGTGGGAGGGAGGGAGGGAGGGGAGGAAGGGAGGGAGGGTTTGTGAAAGAGAGCATGGTATAAACAGATGACTGACCAGGTGGATCCAGAGAGGCCAGCGATGTAGGTGGCACAGTCCAGGACCCCAGACTCATACAGGGCCTTCATCACCCCAGAGAACCCCACCATGGCCCTGAAGCCTCCCCCTGAACCCACTATGGCTATCACCGGCACCTGCACAGACACAGGCAGGAAGAGATAGGAACGGATTATACAATATAATGTATTCCCTGTCATAGCATGACTACTTGAGATTCCTAGCAGAACTGTGATAAACCCCTACTTCCTTATGTTACCTCCCTCCGTCAGTCTGATTGGCTGGGCCTGGCTCCCCAGTGGGTGGCCCTCATGTGAAATCCATAGATTAGGGCCTAATTAATTAATTTCAATTGACTGATTTCCTTATATGAACTGTAACACAGTAAAATCGTTGAAATTGTTGCATGTTGCATTTATATTTTTGTTCAGTACACATAGTTTTAGATGTTCAAGAGCCTGGAGTGTTTTTTAACTTTGTTTTTTCCCTCAAAACTCCCGCATGCCAGATTGAATGGGCTCCCCTGTTCTAGACAGTAGTATTTACTAGCCCCAGTGGGAACGCAGTGTGGCAGCTCTGCAGCAGTACTGTTATGTGGTGGATTATTATCTCATCATTGCTGGCAGCTTCCGGACCATGTGAGGACACAGGCAGGCAGGGAGGGCCTAGCTGGCCAGAGGTCAGGGTACACACTACAACCAGGGACACAAGGCCAAAACCAGTCACAGAAACACAGCCCAGTCCAACCAGTGGAGGAATGCAGAACTCAGAAGCTGAACAGGCCCTGTGAGCTCTCAGTCTGAGAGGAAGTTAGCGGCTATAAAGCGATCACATGTTGGAATACTAATAGGTCTAAACGTGTCAATGTGGTGCATGTGTATATACAGCATGTGATCTTGCATATAAAAAAAGGTGTTGTTTGCTAACATCAGCTCTTGTCTATGAACTTGACCACTATGCTAAGCAATACTGCAGGGTAAGCCCTTTTTCTATGGCAATACATGTTTTATTTAGCCCATGTCTATTATATTGCCATGCCATTTTGGAGTGGTTACCATTCAATGCATCCTAATACATGAGGTAAAACACTACATTTGCAAAAACACTGCAACATTTCTAAATTATTTAAAAAATAACACTGTGGCTGGAAGGAGGCCGCTCTCGGAGCCTGGGCCCACAGTACTCGGGCATGCCCACCTCCTGAGGGGTGCTGGGGAGGAAGCGAGGCTTCTCCATGTCTAGCAGCTTCTTGATGCCCAACGTCACCTTCTCTCTGCGGGCCTGTCTGAACAGCTTCTCCTTGTCACACAGGGCCAGGCTGAACCGCAGGTCCAGTTTAGTACTGTAGACAAAGAGACACAACAGATAGAACAAAGAGGATGTATAAATATGAAGCTTTTTTTTTTTTTTATCGTGTTGTTTAGGAGTACAAAGTCTAATTGAGTTATTGCACACAAACATTTCAGTACATATACAGTGGGGAGAACAAGTATTTGATACACTGCCGATTTTGCAGGTTTTCCTACTTACAAAGCATTTAGAGGTCTGTACTTTTTATCATAGGTTCACTTCAACTGTGAGAGACGGAATCTAAAACAAAAATCCAGAAAATTACATTGTATGATTTTTAAGTAATTAATTTGCATTTTATTGCCTGACATAAGTATTTGATACATCAGAAAAGCAGAACTTAATATTTGGTACAGAAACCTTTGTTTGCAATTACAGAGATCATACGTTTCCTGTAGGTCTTGACCAGGTTTGCACACACTGCAGCAGGGATTTTGGCCCACTCCTCCATACAGACCTTCTCCAGATCCTTCTGGTTTCGGGGCTGTCGCTGGACAATACTTACTTTCAGCTCCCTCCAAAGATTTTCTATTGGGTTCAGGTCTGGAGACTGGCTAGGCCACTCCAGGACCTTGAGATGCTTCTTACGGAGTCACTCCTTAGTTGCCCTGGCTGTGTGTTTCGGGTTGTTGTCATGCTGGAAGACCCAGCCACGACCCATCTTCAATGCTCTTACTGAGGGAAGGAGGTTGTTGACCAAGATCTCACGATACATGGCCCCATCCATCCTCCCCTCAATACGGTGCAGTCGTCCTGTCCCCTTTGCAGAAAAGCATCCCCAAAGAATGATGTTTCCACCTCCATGCTTCACGGTTGGGATGGTGTTCTTGGGGTTGTACTCATCCTTCTTCTTCCTCCAAACACAGCGAGTGGATTTTAGACCAGAAAGCTCTATTTTTGTCTCATCAGAACACATGACCTTCTCCCATTCCTCCTCTGGATCATCCAGATGGTCATTGGCAAACTTCAGACGGGCCTGGACATGCTGCAGGATTTTAATCCATGACGGCGTAGGGTGTTACTAATGGTTTTCTTTGAGACTGTGGTCCCAGCTCTCTTCAGGTCATTGACCAGGTCCTGCCGTGTAGTTCTGGGCTGATCCCTCACCTTCCTCATGATCATTGATGCCCCACGAGGTGAGATCTTGCATGGAGCCCCAGACCGAGGGTGATTGACCGTCATCTTGAACTTCTTCCATTTTCTAATAATTGCGCCAACAGTTGTTGCCTTCTCACCAAGCTGCTTGCCTATTGTCCTGTAGCCCATCCCAGGCTTGTGCAGGTCTACAATTTTATCCCTGATGTCCTTACACATCTCTCTGGTCTTGGCCATTGTGGAGAGGTTGGAGTCTGTTTGATTGAGTGTGTGGACAGGTGTCTTTTATACAGGTAACGAGTTCAAACAGGTGCAGTTAATACAGGTAATGAGTGGAGAACAGTAGGGCTTCTTAAAGAAAAACGAACAGGTCTGTGAGAGCCGGAATTCTTACTGGTTGGTAGGTGATCAAATACTTATGGCATGCAATAAAATGCAAATTAATTACTTAAAAATAATACAATGTGATTTTCTGGATTTTTGTTTTAGACTCCGTCTCTCACAGTTGAAGTGTACCTATGATAACAATTACAGACCTCTACATGCTTTGTAAGTAGGAAAACCTGCAAAATCGTCAGTGTATCAAATACTTGTTCTCCCCACTGTATATACTTTTAAAATATATATATTTCCCTTTATTACTTTCCAACCCCACCATCCTTTCCCTAATTGGAGTAAACTGGTGAACAACAATGCTTAGGCCTCTACTTCATGCTTATACATACTGTGAGAGAAAAAAGTATTTGATCCCCTGCTGATTTTGTATGTTTGCCCACTGACAAAGACATGATCAGTCTATAATTTTAATGGTAGGTTTATTTGAACAGTGAGAGACAGAAAAACAACCAAAAACCCCAGAAAAATGCATGTCAAAAATGTTATAAATTGATTTGCATTTTAATGTAGGAAAGAAGTATTTGACCCCTCTGCAAAACATGACTTAGTACTTGGTGGCAAAACCCTTGTTGGCAATCACAGAGGTCAGACGTTTCTTGTAGTTGGCCACCAGGTTTGCACACATCTCAGGATGGATTTTGTCCCACTCCTCTTTGCAGATCTTCTCCAAGTCATTAAGGTTTCGAGCCTGACGTTTGGCAACTCGAACCTTCAGCTCCCTCCACAGATTTTCTATGGGATTAAGGTCTAGAGACTGGCTAAGCCACTCCAGGACCTTAATGTGCTTCTTCTTGAGCCACTCCTTTGTTGCCTTGGCCGTGTGTTTTGGGTCATTGTCATGCTAGAATACCCATCCACGACCCATTTTCAATGCCCTGGCTGAGGGAAGGAGGTTCTCACCCAAGATTTGACGGTACATGGCCCCGTCCATCGTCCCTTTGATGCGGTGAAGTTGTCCTGTCCCCTTAGCAGAAAAACATCCCCAAAGCATAATGTTTCCACCTCCATGTTTGACGATGGTGTTCTTGGGGTCATAGGCAGCATTTCTCCTCCTCCAAACACGGCGAGTTGAGTTAATGCCAAAGAGCTCCATTTTGGTCTCATCTAACCACAACACTTTCACCCAGTTCTCCTCTGAATCATTCACATGTTCATTGGCAAACTTCAGACAGGCCTGTATATGTGCTTTCTTGAGCAGGGGGACCTTGCGGGCGCTGCAGGATTTCAGTCCTTCACGGCGTAGTGTGTTACCAAATGTTTTCTTGGTGACTATGGTCCCAGCTGCCTTGTGATCATTGACAAGATCCTCCCGTGTAGTTCTGGGCTGATTCCTCACCGTTCTCATGATCATTGCAACTCCACGAGGTGAGATCTTGCATGGAGCCCCAGGCCAAGGGAGATTGACAGTTATTTTGTGTTTCTTCCATTTGCGAATAATCGCACCAACTGTTGTCACCTTCTCACCAAGCTGCTTGGCGATGGTCTTGTAGCCCATTCCAGCCTTGTGTAGGTCTACAATCTTGTCCCTGACATCCTTGGAGAGCTCTTTGGTCTTGGCCATGGTGGAGAGTTTGGAATCTGATTGATTGATTGCTTCTGTGGACAGGTGTCTTTTATACAGGTAACAAACTGAGATTCCAAACACAAGAGTGTGCTCCTAATCTCAGCTCGTTACCTGTATAAAAGACACCTGGGAGCCAGAAATCTTTCTGATTGAGAGGGGGTCAAATACTTATTTCCCTCATTAAAATGCAAATCAATTTAAAACATTTTTGACATGTGTTTTTCTGGATTTTTTTGTAATTATTCTGTCTCTCACTGTTCAAATACATCTACCATTAAAATTATAGACTGATCATTTCTTTGTCAGTGGGCAAACGTACAAAATCAGCAGGGGATCAAATACTTTTTTCCCTCACTGTACTATATACATTTTATGGACACAGTCATATTTTGTTTGTTTTTACTCCTGAACTTCCTCCGATCATTTTCATGATGTCCATCTGGTATGTTTCTATATGCCATATTTTTCTAACTGTGCTCTTTCACAAAAGCTCTCAACCTATAACCTATATACTTATTATGGACACAGTATGCTTTACATTAGTTATCTTGTTGTTATTAGTTGTTGTTATTAGTCCCATCCTTCAACTCCATTCAACACCTCCCATCTATCTCTTAACACCATCCATATTGGATTTCTATTTGCCATATATTTTTCAACTGTACTGTGATGTTTTACAAAAGTTCTGAACCTTTCTATTCTCATTGTTTCTACAGTTTGTGAATTGAAAATAAACATTTTTGCTAAAAGTATTATTATATTATTGATCGATTGACAATGACTTTTCAGATCACCCAGTAGTGCTATCTGCAGGGCCAGCTCCATGCAAATATTGCTATCCTTCAGCCATTCCTGGACCTGTGTCCAGAAACAAGCTACAAATGGACAGTACCAAAACAAATGATCTAATAATTCTGTCTCTTCACAGCCAAATCTGCAGAGCTGGGAAGATTGTATCCCCCATTCAAATAACATTCTATTGGTAGCAAGAATTTTATATAATAATTTAAATTGAAAAATTCTAAGTTTTGAATCCGGCGTCGTTTTGCGTATTAGTTCATAAACACTATGCCATGGAATCGGTACGTCAGAAATCTCTTCCCAACTATTTTGCAATCTATATGGGACGGCTGTCAATCCTTTGGTCCTGAAATGAAACTGGTTCCTTACTTTTTCCTCCTTCCACTTTCCTCTTCCATTTTTGCGGTAATGCTGCAATTATTTGGTTGTAATTTTGGGTAGAGCAGACATTTCCATATGTTTTTGTTAGCTGCATAACTCCACCATTCCTACCGATAATATCATTTACGAAGATTATACCTATTTTTCCACAAACTGACAGGTATTTACCTTTCCATGGAAGCAAGATCTTATCTATTTTTGCTAACTTTCTATTAAAATGTATTTGAGTGAGATCATTTATTTCATTTGGGATATGTATTCCGAGTATATCCACATCACCATCAGACCATTTTATTGGTAAACTACATGGTAATGTAAATTTTTTATTTTCTAGTGATCCAATACGTAATATAGTACATTTATCATAATTTGGTTGCAATCCAGAGAGGTTAGAAAATGTATCTAGATCCTCTATGAGGCTGTGGAGGGATTCAAGTTGTGGATTTAAAAGATTATTATTCCCAACTACAAAAGACTATTCCTTTTTTTCTCAAAGTAATAAAAGCTATTCAAGAATTGACTACATAAAAAAAAAAATGCACTCACCAATTTACTGGATTAAAAAATTTATGATATAGTGATATCGGATCATTCTCCGATATCATGTTTAATTACACCAATAGAAAATACACTTAGCGACAGAGTTTGGAGAATGAACAGAGCTCATCTTCTGGACCCAAAATGTATTAAATACATCATTGAAAAAATAAAAATCTTTACCATTACAAATGTCGACATAGAGGACGTAGAGAAG